CTGGAGGACTAGCTAAAACACAGGTTTCAGGACCCTTCCCTGAGGATTCCCGACTCGGTCGTTCTGGGCTGGGGATTTCTATCTGTAGAAGTCGCTGGTGCTGCTGGTCTGGGACACAGTGGGAACCTGGCCGGGGCATGTGCTAGGTCATGACAGAGTATTCCCTGAATCCACACCTAAGCCCAGAGGGTGCTGATCTCCTTCCACGGTTCTGCAGTTCCTGAAAGGCCATCCAGTGCTGACCTGACATCTGGAATAAAGAGAATGGTTTTTCATCAATTAATTTGGAGCCAAATCCTTGATTAAATCTCGTGTCCACCATCCCCTGACCATGAACTCTTAAGGCCCTTTCCACGTGGGGATAAGGAAGCCTGTCTCACTGGATTATTTTGAAAATTTAAAAAATATAAAGAAGAAAAGTATGACTCTGGAAAAGCACCACCCTACTGCCTGCCTCAGAGCAGGGCTCAATAGTTACACTAAAATGTAATTTTTTGCTCAATTGCTAATCTTGGGAATCTATCAACTGTGATAGGAAAACTATGACGGGGAAAAGAACGGGAAGCCATGGGAAGCCAGCGGACTCCACTTATGTGGCCTGAATACTAGTGAGCCTGAGCGCTCGGCATCTCAAGGACCATTCTGGAGGAGAGGGATCTTAAGGGTCTTGGAGCGTGGGATGGATAGGGAAGGGGCTGGGCCCGGACCTGCTGCAGGCACAGTGGGCCACACTCGGGCCATATCGGCTCCTCAGAGCTTTGACTATGGACCCCTGAACAACACTTTCTTGGTGAGTGAATGAGTGAATGAGGGGAGGAAGGAGAGAGAGGCCACCACACCACCCAAGTCAGCTGACCCTGCCGTCCTAGAGAGGCCAAAGGCAGCCGACCAGGAAGCAGGATACTACACTGGGCTTACCAAGGGTCTTCTCCGAGATCCCCCTGGTGTGGCCGAGCTGGAGTGACAGTGATGAGCTGGAGTGACAGTGATCATCAGCAGTCACAGCGATAGGGTGTTTGGGACCACAGGACTCATGTTCAGCTGGTACGTCATTCATAAAACCCACTGACGAAGGTCACCTGAGCCTGAGTCTTTGGCTCCTACTGGGCCCCACACAGTAGGTCCAATGGCTCTTTGGGATGTGAGGGATATTGTGGTAAGTGTAGCTCAGGACAGGATTATAATGAGGACAAGCTAATATTTGGTGCTATTAAGTTCTTCTCTTGAGAACTGAAATTACTTTAGATTATTAAATTCCATGCATGGTGGGGGGGGGTCATCGGGCTAGCAGGAATTTTTTGAGACTTTCTCAGTGCTGAGCGTCAATCCACTCAGGATGCTTCAGGGCACAGAAGGGTGAGGCCTTTGGCTCCTAGTTCAAAAATACTTGCTAAGAAGCAGGAATAAGGGCTCGGAGCCCTTCAGAGCGGCCTTCACTTGTGGCAGTGCCTGCTCCTACCCAGGCCAGGCCAGACTCCCTGTTTAATGACACCCAGGTGCCGTCCTGCCACCGCAGGGCCTTGCTCCTAACCTCCAATGACACCACCTCACTCGGGCTCCTCTGGGGAAGGGGCTGCCTCTCTGAGTGTGGTTTTGCAAGAAGAGCCTCCTTCCGCTGTTGGATGACTCTCTCCAGGACAGGCCTGTCCCGGCACGGCCCTTGGTGCCGGCTCTTCCCCAGTGTGCCAGCAGCTTCCTCCTCTTGTCCTTGGCATGAGAGGCTCAGATGTGTGTCCTCCCAGGGAGGTTTCCAGGTGGGGTTCTGTG